CACGATGACAAACTTTTATTTTTTAAGTTTCTATTGTAAATTGTAAAATAGCTACATGAGAGAACATCGGTTTTACACTCGTTTCATTGAAATGATTACAATCCCCTCCCTGCATCATTATTCAACACAACAGTATTTGCTTCTATTCTGTTGAATTCTTTTTTGGGGGTGGGGATATACACAAAATATATAATCATTTAAACAACTAGCATACAGCCTTTCTCTTTCCATGAGTCTAGAGTCCTCAGATGCTCTATCTCTCCATGTCCTCATCTCTGCCTCCATCTCTGGTGTTGCTGCTTCTCTGGATAAGGTTCCACATTCTGCTTGTGTGCTTCTCCCTTGATGATCCTAGGGTCCTCTGTTCCTGGACTGTAAGATTAACTACTTCCCCGTTACTGTTACAAAACTTCTACCTTTACAGTTGTGACAGTTACAATTAGTCATGATAACAATTATTCACTATTGAATCATAAGAATCTTATCCCCATTTCCATTCACCAGAACCATCCAGACCAGATAAAAACTATTCAGTGGGGATTCTACCTTACCCCACACTCTGAAACTAAACTCCCTCCTGAAAACTTGTTAGCTAGTCACTTCATGCTTTTATTGCCCCCCCCCAAGTATAGGTCAAGTTCATCAAATTGTAGCAATTTACACTTGTTCCTTTATCATAAATTTCATCTTCCTCTAGTTGATTTCTGATCATCAAGCCACTGAGGCCAGGTCAAATGGATACTATCTGCAAGTCTGGGCATTCTTGGGCGTCTCCCCTCACTTCATTTTCAGGTGGACGGTTCACTCTCAGCTCTAGCCCTCGGTGGCTATGTCCTTGTTCATGGGCTCGGGAGTTCCCAGGTCTCGCCACCAGCCCTTCCTCTTCTCTCTCTCATCTCCAGGTCGATGGGAGTCTATGGAACATGGTCGAACTCAGCCCTTATCTTTATTTCTGCCTTTCCCCGTCCTCCACTCACTAGTAGACCAACGTGGTCGCCAGTAAGCTTACATGCCTGCTCATGTTCCCTTTGAGTTTCACTCTTGCTGAGAGGGGTTTGACGTGATAAACTTTTTATACAGAAAAAGAGTAATGTCTAAATCAACTTTGAAAAATAAGAGGGAGCTATTAATGTATTTTATAAAGTCTTAATAGTAAAAGCAGCAGGCAAAGACCCCCAAGACTATATAGTCTTGAGACACTCTTAAAGCCTGGAACTTAGGCACCCCCCATGGTTGAACTTTCAGCCAAATGATAGATAGGCCTATAAAGTGAATGATAACACCAGGGAAGTATGCACTCCTTAGAGTCCAGAAGGCAGGAAGGGATAAGAAAGAAGGACAAATGGAAATGAAAAACACAGGAAGTGGAAAGAGTGGTGTTATATTATGCGGACTACAATCAACGCCACAAAACAAAATGTGTATGAATTGCTGAATGGAAAATCAATTTGTTCTGTACACTTTCACCCAAGTCACAGTACAAAGTTAAAAGTGAGAGAGCGAAGAAAAAAAAGAATAGCCCAATGGAACAAATTAGACCACTCAAGACAGATTCATGTAAACAAGGAAACTTGACATGAGATGAGGTATGCTGTTAAGTGCTGTCAAGTCTGTTCCAACTCATAGCGACCCTGTATAGAGTTTATGAGGATTGGCTCGTGGGTTTGAATCACCGACCCTGCAGTTCAAACTGATTTTGCAGTCCAGTGCTTTATCCCACAGCGCCACACCAGATAATGTATACTACAACTCAATAAAGAATAAACTGTTTAGGAGACAGTACTGGGCAAACCACTCATTATACGGAGGAAAATAAAACTGACACCTACTTCCTATCACATTCAAAAGCGGGTTCTAGATGGACTACATACCTGAAAGTGAAAGGTAAAACTAGAGTGAAAGGAATCATTGTGGTCCAGGGGTAGGGAAAAAGATTTTGAAAGCACAAATTATAAGCCCCAAAAGTGGTTAAATTTAGAACATCAAAATTTAGAACAGGCATCCATTCTTGCCACTGTGGCTTGTAGGATAAGTACTGGACTCGTAATCATAAGGTCAGTGGACCAAACCCACCAGCTGCTCTGCAGGAGAAAGATGCAGCTTTCTGTTCCCACAAAGATTTGCAGTCTGGGAAACCCTATAGAGCGTAGCTATGAGTAGGAAACAACAACAATCCATTCTTGGAGTGATAAGGAAAATGCAATAGACAGACCCCCTTGTATCCTTAGCAGTAATTAGAAGTACTAATATATGCACTGTAGTCCTGGTGTGGCGTTGCAGGATAATGCACTGGACGGCAAGATCAGTAGTTCAAACCCACCCGCCACTCCTTGGAAACCCTATACAGGGCGGCTATGAATCAGAACTGACTTGATGGCACTGAACAACAACAATGCATACATGCAATACAGACACTAAAAAATATAGTGTTGAATAATAAAAAGTTCAGAAAAGAGAACAAAAACACTATGCCATATGTGTACACTAAAAACACTCAAACGCTCAAAACAACATTACATATTTTAGAAGGATACATATCAAACACAAAGCAGCTATCTAGAGACAGAAAATGGAGAGAAAAAAATATGGCAATAGAGGCATTGTGTTAACCTATAAAATAAACCTACTTTCAATTGGAATGTATGATTCATTCAAACCTCTGCATCTGGGGTCCTTTAAAAGCCAAAAGAAAGTCAGTGGCCGACCGGGGGGAAGGCATGTAGTGTATACCCTTTGGTTGGTTGATGATGCATGGAGGGGATTGTAACCATGGCAATGAAACGATATATGATAAGATGAATGTAAAACTAATGTTCTCCCATGTAAACTATCACATAATTCACAATAAAACATTAAAAAAAAAAAGTCAGTGGCTTTATGTGGTAAAGTCTGAGTCAAATATGTGACGCTACAGGATTAAGCATGGGACTGTTAATCGTAAGGTTAGTATTTTAAACCCACCAGTTGTTCTTTGGAAGCCCTAGACTAGGTCACAATAAATCAAACCAACTCAATGGCATTTAACAACAATTCAAACTCAGAAACTGTCACAGAGCACTTCTAGTTAATATTATCCAAAATCAAATGCCTTTCAAAAGACATCTTTACACAAGTTCAAGGCTGAATAACACTAAAATTTGGTTTCATTTTTCAGAAAAAAATATTATTCTACATTTTAAAAAGAGGTGAAAGCGGAAAAAACTTGGTAAGACATTTTAAAATTATTTTCTCCCTGAGTTTTTAGAATTCTTTAATTATAAAAAATGTTGTTTCAGCATTTTCGTATGTAAAATTTGTTGTTGTTGTTGTTGAGTGCCATCGAGTCGGGTCCGACCCATAGCGACCCTGTACAGGGTTTCCGAGGGTGTAAATCTTTACGGGAGTAGAAAGCCTCATCTTTCTCCCGCGGAGCGGCTGGTAGTTTCGAACCGCTGACCTTAAGGTTCGCAGCCCGATTCGTAACCACTACGCTAACTTTAATTACACTTATAGACTCCTGGTGTGGTGCTGGTAAGATCAGCTCCGGGTTGTGAACTACAAGGTCAGCAAGTGCAAATCCACCAGCTGTGTTTTGGAAACACTACACAGGGTTGCTATGAGTTGGAACTGACTCGACGGCACTTAACAACAATGCTGGGCAACCATTACCATTATCCATTTCCAAAATTGCCCATCAACCTTAACAGAAACTCAGTGCCCTTTAAGAAATGACTTCCCTTCCTCCCACCTTAAATAACCACTAACTTTGGTCTCTATGCTTTTGCCCTTTCTAGACATTTTATAAGTGAAACCCTACAACATTTGTCCTCTTGTGTCTGACTTATGTCACTCAGCATAATTCATGCATGTATTAGAACATCATTTACCTTTATGAGTGAATATCATTCCAGTGTGTATATACCATCTTTTGTTTACTCATTCATCTGTTGCAAAGAACACTGTGTACAAGTAAGTGTGTGTGTTTCTTTCAAATTTATGGGGTACTTATAATGTTATAATGAACACTATATACAAGTATGTTCCTGATTTCAATTCTAGTGGAATTTTCTTTCAATCCTTGGAGTAGAACTGCTAGTCACATGGAAAGTCTGTATTTAACTTTCTGAGGAACTGCCAATCTGTTTTCCAGAGGCTGCACCATTTTACAATTCTACCAGCAACTGATGAGGGTTCTAATTTGTCTACGTTGTTACCAACACTCACTGTTCTCCATTTTTCTGATTATAGTCATTCCAGTCTGACTCTTAATAGAGGCTCTGTGGGAGAGCCAAGTCTTTCCTTTCCAATATAATTTTAAAATGTGATGGACAGTTCACCTGTATCAGAATCACCTAGGGGAAGGCATGGCACAGGATCTCTGTATTTTATCAAATAGCTCTAGTTGTTCATACTAGAGTTTAAAATTAACTGTACCAGTGAGTCAATTCCAAGACAAATATCACTAACCATCCTAACCTGTCCCTGGAGTCTCCCACTGTCTCATACTTGTCCTGGGTAAATTCTTGACTCTGAAGGCTCCACTCCCCAAAACGCAGCCCAGGCCTCTCTCCTGTCTGTTCACAGGCATTTAGGACCCAGTCAGTCATCTGATACCAACCTCTACCTCTCCTCCTATGATGGCTGTCCTCACCTTGGTGAATGATACCACATACTAATCTGGGTCACATTAAGCTGGAAATCTTGGGCATCAACCCCAAGTTCTCCCTTTCTCTTGATCCCTTTCCGCCTTCACATTTAACCAGGATTCCCCTAATGTTATTCGCTGTTTTGTAATCATAAACTGAGCATGTGAGACCCCAAATAAAGAGAAGGCTGCAAGCTTATCTATCCCAGTCACCACTGCATTCCCAGAGACCAGCAGTTTCTTGCTCACAACAGGTGCACCTCTCACAAAATCATCTCGACTCTGTTTCTTTTGTCTAGAAGGCCCTTCCTAGTATCTTCTTCTCAACTGGGGGTAAGACTAAGCTGCTTGGTAGGGGTGGGAGTGGATAACTTACCGTCTTTCATAATCCATGTCCTGATAGGGCCTGCAGAGGCTACTGGGCCCCCTCCTCAGCCGCTGGCTCCGTTTCACTTCCCAGCCACCCCTGCTGCTGCCACCATGATCTGCCAGCCTGGGTAATGCCTCCTGCAGGGGGTCTGAGGAGAAGAGGGGAAAAGAAAGGGGTCAAAGCGGTTGGAACAGAGAGGACTTCCTTGAGAACCTTCGTATCAAGGCATTCTGCTGTCCTTAGCCTGGAGACAGTTTTCCAACTCCTGGTGCTCTTGTTGAAGTCCTGTGGCTCCATAGCATAAGCACGGGATAAGGAGCTCTGGGAGCATAGTGGTTACGAGTTGGGCTGGCAACTTCAAGGTCAGCTGCGGTTCCGCAGGAGAAAGATGAGGCATTCTGCTCCCATAAAGATGTACAGCCTCAGAAACCCTGTGCAGGGTCACTATAAGTCGGAACCGACTCCACGGTACTTAACAACAACAACACTAACCATAAGGCTGGCAGTGTGAGCTTCGGCAGAAAGACAAGGCTTTCTGCTCCTGTAAAATTTATAGCCTCGGAAACATATACAGAGTTGCTAAGAGTCAGACCGCAACTCAACAACAACAGTGAGAACACAGCCCCAAGACGACAGCATTTAACAACAGTGCTCCTGAGGACCAAAGTGAGAACACAGCCCCGGCTGGCTAACTGCTTTCTTTCTCCACAAACATGAGGCTAGATAGAGTCCGTTGCCCTAGAAACAGCAGGGCCTTCATCAGACAGATGACATCTTGCAGTGTGATCTAGAACATCCCTACTAAAGGTGGTGGTTGTTGTTAATTGCCGTAGAGTCTGTTCCGACCCATAGCGACCCTGAACAGGATTTCCGAAGCTATAAATCTTTACGGGAGCAGAAAGCCTCATCTTTCTCCTGCGGAGCTGTCGGTAGTTTCGAACTGCTGACCTTGCGGTTCGCAGCCCAATTCGTAACCACTACACTACCAGAGCTCCTTGAAAAATGGAGGGTTAGTGGCATTATCCATCCAGTTATCAGGGATTTTGCATCTGACACTGGTAGACAAGCTTAAGCCTGGTGCCATTTCATCCTCCCAACAAGATGTTGGCAGACCCTCCAAGGTGGTAGGAGCCCAGGAAAGGCTCTCGGGGGTGGGTGAAGGGGCTAGCTTGGCAAGGAGACAGCTGCTGCCTCCCTGGGCTCCCAGCCAGCTCAGCCCTCACACAGCAACTGGCTCAGCCCTGAGCCTTACATAGCCAGGTCCCAAGGCAGCTCTCTCCCTAAAGGCTCTGAGCCCAAGTTCTCTCAGAGGCAAAGGGGCCCCTTTCAGAGGCTGTTCTGAACCACTGTGCTATTCTGGTAGGATGGAGAGGCAGTCACCTCATCCAACTCTGATGGTTGCCTTGAAGACTAAAGGAGTGCCGAGAGCCAGGGAGTAAATGTACCCAAATTCTTCAGATCCCAGCTCGGAAACAGAAACGAGGCAGGCAGTAACACCACCACCCAACACCAGACTGCCACACCTTTCGCCCATGTGTGTACGTACACACATGCACACACCAATTTTGTCTTCCGCATCAAGTCTAAGGGAACCAGTTCTCTCTCTCCATATGGCTAAGGATTATAATCACTACCAGGAGTCTCATTGGATCAGAGCCCGATACAAAAACCCCAATAGACGCTGGCAAAAGGAGCCAGAGTTACACCTAGTATCTACAACAGATAAGGGCCAAAGTAACTGATGATATTGTTATGTGCCATACAGTTGGTTCCTACTCGGAAGAGACTCTATATAGTTTTTCAGTGAGCTTGAATTGCCGACCTTGAAGTTAGCACTCCAGTGCTTATCCCACAGCACCACAGGGCTCTAAAGTCATAGACAGGAGTCCCAAATACTTACAGGCCCAAATCACAGATCGGAACCCACAATAAATATGGCCTGTCTTTCAATGGAGGAGCATCAGAGTCATAGGCGCAACCTCTCCAAAGGGGGTAATGTAATAATCACACACATATTCCTAGTTCCCCTCCACTCAAAGTGAGTTGGTCAAGTTCAAGACAGCCCCCTTGCAGAAAGAGTAGAATTACAGACACACACCCCAGGGATAAAGACCATGGTCACACAGACAGGACTCCTCCCCCTCCGCAATGAATAAGAAAGGACAAGAGCCACAGAACCCCTCTCCATGGTCAGAAAAGCACGCCCCTTTCCCTATGGATAAAAATCAGAGTTGCTGATATCAGTCTCCCAGAAAGTCCAGCATCACAGACACCTAACCCATTCTCATTTGTCCCGCCCTTCCCCCAAACCGCGTGCACCCATCCCGTTTCCCAGTCGCGCACGCGCCTCTGTTCTCAAAAGAAAAAAAGAGACACCCCCCTCCCCGCCCCGGGCTGAGCGCAGACCGTGCAGGCAACCCTGGGCACGGTGTGTACTCCAGGCCCCAGGGCCCACAGCCTGACCTCATGCCCCCACTCCACCTCTGCCCCCACGAACAGAGTCGATGCTCACTTTCTTGGTCAGGGCTGTCAAGGAAGGCCTCCCAGACATCACCTTGGCCCGCCGCCACCTCCTCTAACTCTCCCAGCTCAGCTGGAGGCTGTCCTCGCAACAACCAAGTCTGAGGTTGGAGGCAGAAAGGACGAGGAGGGGGGGGGAGGGGGGAAGCGCCAGGAGCGCTGCCCTCCCCAGAAAACTCACTGCCGCCTACTCCCAGCCGGCCGCAATCACCAACACAAAATGGCGCCGAGAAGGAGGCCGGTGCTTCGACCACCATCCACCTACTAAGAGAGCGCGCTCTGGCGGGTCTCTTCTATTGGTCACCGCCCGCTGTTAGCCAGCCCTGGCCTCCTCTGATTGGCAAGTGTATGCCACCTGCCCACTTTCCCTCAAATCGAGAAATAGAATAGCTATTGGCCAATCCAATAAAGCCCGCTTTTCAGAAGCTCAGTTTCCTTTGAAGATAAAAGACAAACGGAAGCTCCGCCTCACTCCTCAAAGGGCAAAGAAAATTTCTTTTTGATTGGATGGGAACTGTATCCGCCCAAATGCCACCACTTTCTTCCCACCAAGGCAATGAACAGACCTAGAAATAAGCAACTTGTCATCCTGAGAGGAAGAGAATGTAGCCAAGAGGGCTACTCAAGCCTCATTTGAAAACGAAGTGAGACCTGGGACTTATTTAGTACAGCGGGGGCGGAGCGAGGACCATCGCTCTCAGGGGTAGCTGCAGCTGCGCAGATCCCATTTCCGCCCTAGCCTCTGAGACGCTGCAGAACTATCTGTCATGGCGGCAGGACTGTTAGGTTTGTGTGCTCGCCGCCTTTCGGCAGCAATACCGACGCGAGGGCTCCTGGTTGCCCGTGTCCGCTGGGAATCCAGCGTCTCCAGAGCTGTAGTTGCGCCGCCCGCCATGGCGGGGAAGCGGCCGCTAGAACCTACCATACGCTGGCAGGAAGACCCAGATCCCGAGGACGAAAACCTATATGAGAAGGTGAGAAGGAGGGGGAGCGGGACGTCACAAAGGTTAGGTGGGGACAGGCGGACGGGGCGCCTTAGAGGACGTTCTTAGTTAGCCGAATGTTGTGCAACCGGCGAACTCCTCCAAGATTTTGAAATTTTACCTAGCTTGTTTTCCGTCTTTGTGTCATGATATCCTCTGTCCAAACCCAGAGATGTAATTGACCTTTATTTTTTAATGTTTTATTGTGAATTATATGGCAGTTTACATGAGAGAACTTTAGTTTTACATTCATTCCATCGTATATCATCTCATTGCCATGGTTCCAATCCCCTCCATGCATCATCAACCAACCAAAGGGTATATCCTAGAAACCCGCCACCTACACTTCCCCCTCCCCTACCCCCCAGTTTTTGCAGACAGAAATCAAACCTAAAACAGGCAGTCCCAAACTCGCTAGAAGCACTATAGTATTAGCAGTAGTACTGTTAATTTAAGCATCTTTGTGGCGCTTAATCTGGGCCAGGCAGCGTTCTAGCATTTATATACATTGTTGTTGTCGATTCCGTTTCGTAGCGACCCTGTACAGGGTTTCCGAGGAGCAGCTGAGGGATTTGAACCGTCGACCTTGTAGTTAGCAGTCCAGTGCTGATCCTACAGCACCACATCAGGAGTCCTTTATATACATTAGCTCATTTAACCTACAAAATAGCTTTATTTTGAGGCAGGTACTATTACGTACCAATTTTACAGGAAGCTGAAGCAGAGCTGTTAAGTAGCTTGCCTTAAGATCAACTAGCGGAATAAGTAGTCGAACCGGTGTTTGAACCGAATCTGCCCGGTTTGCTGTGCTGTATCAATAACAGAAACTCTGACGTCGTATGGCTTGGGTTAGACTCCTAGCTCTGACAGCTTAAACTCCATGTGCCTTAATTTGTAAAATTGTGACAAGTAGTACACACCTGCATCATGAAATTCAATGAGCCAAAATGCTCAGAACAGCAGCTGGCACAAAACCGTGTTGTTTCTGACTCATAGCAACCTCATGTTGTTAAGTGCTGTCGAGTCGATTCCGATCCATAGCGACCCTATACAGGCTTTCTGAGGAGCAGCTGGTGAGCTTGAACTGCCAACCTTGCAGTTCAAATGGCTTTGCAGTCTGGCGCGTTAACCCACAGTGCCGCACCAGGACTCCAGCAATCCAATGTTGTTGTTGTTGTTAGGTACCATCGAGTCGGTACCGACCCATAGCGACCTTATGCACAGCAGAACGAAACACTGCCCCTTCCTGGGTCAACCGTACTACTGTTGCCACGCTTGAGTCCTTCAATGGACTCAGTGGCCAATCCATCTCGTTGGGGGTCTTCCTCTTTTTCTCTGACCCTCCACCTTTCCAAACATGATATCCTTCCTAGGACATAGTATTTCCAAAACTGTAATATTTACAGAGGTCCACAGATTGGGTGGTGGGTTTGAACTGCTGACCTTGCAGTAAGCAGCCAAATGCTTAACCCAGCATGCCACCAGGGCTCCTTTCAGTTAGCTTTGTTGTTAAGTGCCGTGGAATAGGTTATGACACAGTGACATTGTATAGGGTTTCCAAGGAAAGGCTGGTGGGTATGAACCACTGATTTTGATATTAGCAGTCCAGTGCTTATCCTACAGCACCACGTCAGAACTCCAGTTAACATTGCTGTTGTTAAGTGCCATTGAGTCTGTTTCAACTTACAGTAAATCTGTATAAGGTTTCTGAGGAGTCGCTGGTAAATTTGAACTGCCAGCCTCGCGGTCCAGTGTATTATCCCACAGCACCACACCAGAACTCCCCAGTTAACGTTATTGTTGTTGTTAAGCTGTCGAGTTGGTTCTAACCCATAGCAACCCTATAGAGAGTTTTCTGAGGAGCGCCTGGTGAGCTTGAAAGGCTGCTGACCTTGTGATTCAAATGACTTTGCAGTGCAGGGCATTAATCCATAGTGCCATACCAGGACTCTCTAGTTAAACATTAAGTGCCGTTGAGTCGGTTCCGACCATAGCGACCCTGTATAGGGTTTCCAAGGAGCAGCTGGTGAACTTGAACCGCCGACTTTGCAATAGAAATGGCTTTGCAATCTGGCGCATTAACCCACAGCGCCACACCAGGACTCCAGTTAACGTTGTTGTTAAGTGCTACCGAGCCAGTTAACATTGGAAGGTGTTAATTATTTTTCCCACTTTCCATCTCACTGAGATACTGTGATTATATATGTGAAAAGGCCTGGCACATACATTTCTTGTTGTTGTTAAGTGCTGTTGAGTCAGTTCCGACCCATAGCGACCATGTATAGGGTTTCTGAGGAGCAGCTGGTGAGCTTAAACCACTGACCTTGCAGTTCAAATGAACTTGCAGTCCTGTGCATTAACCCACAGTGCCACACCAGGACTCCAGCATATTAAATAGGTACCTTATTAATACTAACTTCTGTTTGAGGGGCTTGGATATATAGGATGCTTATTCATTTATTTGGTAAATATGTATTGCGAGCACAGTTCAGGGGTCTAGGGATGCAGCAGTGTGGAAATCAGACAGAGCCCTTGCTTTTATAGAACTTACATGATAATGAGGAAGACAAAAATGTAAAATAGATGATAATGTGAAATAATAATATAAGATAATAGATACATTTCCTTGATAAAAAACTAAAATGATAAATGCTAGAAAGAAATTTAAGCAGAATGAGGAGAGGGAGAGTGACTTAGAGATGTTAAGTGCCGCTGAGTCGGTTCCTATCTAGGGTTTCCATGGAGTGGCTGGTGACCTTGTGATCCAGTACATTATCCTAGCGCCACACTAGGACTTAGAGATAGGGGTTATTAGTTGGAACCCTAGGAAATTGATAGTATCCAATCATTTTTTTATCTATAAATTATGGCAGTATCCTGTTTTATAACTTAATAGGCAAGATGGCTAGGGAATGCCTCCTTAGGAAAGTGATCATTGAGCCTAAACCCTGAATGAGGAGGAACTATCCATGACCAGATCTCAGGGAAAGGTTTCCATGGGAGGGAACAGTAAATGCAAAGGGCCTGTGGTGGGAAGAAGCTTGCCATGCCCTAGGGATAGAAAGGAATGCAATGAAGGAGGGGAAATAGATATGAGATGAGATTGGAAACCGTGTTATACAGGACCAGCATGAGGCTTCACCGAGTAGCATGAAGTAATGTCTCCTTCTCCTTGCCACAGAACCCAGACTCCCATGGTTATGACAAGGATCCTGTCGTGGACACCTGGAACATGCGTGTTGTCTTCTTCTTTGGCTTCTCCATCGTCCTAGTCCTTGGCAGCACCTTTGTGGCTTATCTGCCTGATTACAGGTTCATGGGGTGTCCCAAGAGAATGTCATGGATGGGGGTGGAGGTTGAAGGGAATTCTGCCAGAAATCCTATCTGGAATAGGGGAGTGGTAACCAGTGAAGCTCCCTTACATCTACCCCTTTTTGCTGCTGCCTCCAGGATGCGAGAGTGGGCCCGCAGAGAAGCTGAGAGGCTTGTGAAGTACAGAGAGGCCAATGGCCTCCCCATCATGGAATCCAATTGCTTTGACCCCAGCAAGATCCAGCTACCAGAAGAAGACTGACCTGTTGCTGAGTGGGACTCAGGAAGCAGCAGCCTCCCCACTCCACCCATCCTCCTTTCTGCTCCTTAGAGTACCTAATTAAAGAGGCTGATAAATGTGACTGACTGTTGTTGATTTTGTTGTGAGGTTTTTGGGTGTTGTGGTTATCTATTGGTGTGTAACAAACCACCTTAAAACTTAATGCTTAAAGTAATGACTTATTATTATCTCTCATGGTCCTTTGGGTCAATTGGGCTCAATTATGTGGTTCTGAAGACTGTCTCAGATGGTTACAGTCAGGTGATGGCTGGAACTAGAGTCAACTGGGCTAAACTTCTAAGATGACTTCTTCATTTACCTGGCACATCATTCATCTGCCATGTGTATAGCAGAATAGCCTGGGCTTTTTACAAGGTGACTCAGGGCTCCTCTGAATGGGGGAGTAGCACATACTCTACTCTTTCTGTCTCTTCACTGTCTTTCTGGGGATAGGCTGTCTTCTTGCATGGGGAGCTTATTCTCTCAGACTCTCTGGATCTAGTAGATGGAATAGGAGACTTTCTCTGACTCTGATTGTCCTTGTTTCTTTCTTATCTCCGTAAGTCTGACCATCTGGGCTCCCTTCATGCTCCTGGCATTCCTACCCTCTCTCCTGTTCTGCAGCTCACATACTCAATGCATCACATACTCATTTCTACCATCTCTGTGTATCCTTGCTTGGGACTTCAGAGAG